TGAGGTTGGCGTGATCTCCTGCTGTCGGTCTCCTTGCACTTGAGCGTGTCGCTGAGCTTGGACCTCCTGATGACGATGCTCTGCCTCTACAGCTGCCCAGACGTCGTCGCCGCGGAGCATGAGCGCCATCTTCATGCGAATGCTCCACGCATGAAAGGTGCCGGGCGAGCCAGTGAACTTGGGCAGGTCCATCTGAATCCTGGCGTGGAAACGACGTGGTCCGACGGGTCAGACATACTGCACGCTCAAGAAGGGTGATGGAGAAACAAGAGAGGGGAACAAGCAGAAGGGAGAGAAGAAGCACAAGCGAGTGTGAGACAAGTAGCGATGATGATCAGGAGTGGCTGGGTCTCATAATCTGTAGAAACACGACAGGTGGTGTGTGTGTTTACTGTAGGCAAACGCAACAAACAAGAACACAAGGAGAATGAACAAACACAGCAAGCTGCTGCCAAATCAACTCGGGCAGCACGCTCAAACAAACACTAGACAAGTGCACACACAGTCAACAGAGCTGCCAAGGCGACATGGGCAGAGTGTGCACGAACACAAACAATCTAAACAACGAACAGCATGCATACATGCGCGCAGAGCAATGCTAGGCATGGCATGAATGCTTGCAGGCAAGCATACACAATACACAACACTTTACAACACTGCATGGCACGCACACATGGCATTTGCCAAGCATGGCGAGCATGCACACACACACACACATGGCACACAACTCACGTGTGTAGGGGAAGGAGGAGAGGAGAGGCAGTTGGCACACATGCATACCAGCAGAGAGGAAGGAATGTTTGCAAACGGAAAAACCACAAAGCAGGTGTTGTTGGCAAACAAGACAAAACCACACGCGAAGGCAAATTAGGAAGGACTTAACACAGAACAGAAACTCACTGACTCTCAACATGCTGATGTGGACGACGGCCGGCTGCCCGAAGATGTGCAGCTGCGGCACGTGCTTGGGCAGCGAGCCCGTGACAATCTGCAGCGGTGTCTTGCCGTGGAGGGAAGGGCGAGGCATGTTGTTGAGGATGTGCAGGGCGTGGTTGCAGGCGAGACTCCAGTACGATGCGTCGAGGCCTGCACCCGTGATCATGGCTCGCACCATGTCGGAGAGGGTGCGCACCTGTCGCTCGACGATGCCGTTCTGCGCCTGGGTGTACGGCGGGGACTGCTGGTGCTGCTTCAGGTGCTTCTTGACGATGGCCTGGAAGTCAGCTCCGAGGAAGATGGCATCGGAATCCGTCTGGAGTGCTGTTGTTGTGGGCGAGATGGGGAGCTTGGTCTCGCGCAGGAAAGACTGGAACGCGGCAACTGCGTCCTTCTTGGCGTTGAGATGGACTGCATGCAGGAGCTTGCTTCCCTCATCGACGATGACGAGGCTGTAGCGCTTGCCCGTGGGTGAGTCCGCGGTCCAGTCGACGATGTCGGCGTGGATGCGCTCGCCGGGCACCTGTGTGCGCTCCGCGTGCTTGCTGACGCTGTGACGAGTGCTCTTGGTCACTGCGCACGTTGTACACTGCTTGCTGCTGATGGCGTTGCGATCGTCGATGCCCATCAGCTTGCAGTACTGCTGCACGTCGTTGTCGTTGCGGTGGCCAAGCACCTCATGCATCGATGGTGTGTGTGCTTTGCTCTGGGCTGCAGGAGCTGCTGCGGGTTGCTGTGGTTGCTTGCAGGCATCGGCGGTGAGTCCGTGTGCCGTGGATGGACCAACAGCAACAATGGGCCAGCACCGGAGGCTGTTGCGCTCCTTCAGCTTGACCTCGGCTCCGTGGCTGAAGCGCACGTAGTGCCCATCAGCGCCATCACGCTGCGAGTGGCCCGTTGGCCTGCCGCTGCTGTCCCTTGTCAGACGACCGAGGGCGATGAGGTTGGCGTGGCCCTCGGGCACGTAGAGGCACTCCTGTAGCACAATCTGCATCCTGGCTCCGCTCGTCGTGCGTGCATGCAACAGCACAGAGCCAACACCGCGCACGGGCACACGTGTGCCGCCAAACGCAGTGATGTGGCGTGGATGGTGCTGTTGCAGGTGCGGTGACAGCTCCACGAAGGCGTCCTTGACGAAGGTGAGGTGGTGTGAAGCACCCGTGTCTGCAAGCCACGTGAGTGGGTCATGCAGCTGCGTGGGTGTAGTAGCTGTGGCAGCGACGAAGGTTGCTGCGTCTTGAC